GTAGGGGGGGGGGGGGGGTGGGGGGGGGGGGGCGGCGGGGCACTGCCATGCCGGACATGTACCAATGCAAAACAAATCATACAGCAGGGAGGGGTCCTCATTCTTATGTGACTTGGAGGGTGAGGTGGGAGAACATGGATCCTTCATATGACATGACTATGGAGGACTATAAGCTGTATGTGGTGTTACAGAAGATCCCAAATCTCACGGAGAAGAACCACCACTGAGACCACCAGCATGGGTGTCTGGCTGGAGGGGAGCTGAGGGTCTTGTCAGAACTATTGGGCCGAAAGGAATCGATTTCATAGGCCTAAACATGTCATTTTACAGATGTGTCTATGGGCATACTAGTAGCCATTTTGTCTATGTGCTATAAGGTGAAAATAAGTTCATTCTTCTCTTGTACAGAGACCTTCACAGAGAGAGATTAGGAATGTTAGTATAAACATTCTTCAGATAGTAAATGGTGGGGGTCTCAGACGCATATCAGTTTAGGATAGTACCAGCCTGTGTCGGTCTTGATTGATTACTTTCTTGCCTCCTACAAGAAATTGGAGTTTCTAAAGAGTTTCCCCCCCCCCCTTTGTTCAATGAATAGAAGGCGGGGCTTATTTAAAAATTCCTTATGAAACATTAATATTCATTGCAGTAATTAATATTAACAACAATGTTATTACATTATTATATTATACACGTCATCTATCTGCCTACTTTATTGACTGATTTTAAGTAAAATTTTATACATGTACTTTTATATATCCAAACTATATTCATTATATATATTGTTTGAGTGTACCCATTAAAATATATTGTTGTGTATTACTAATAATGGGGTTTTTATATTTAAGTGCAAAGAATTAGGTGGTACATATCAATGTATATTCTTTTCTTATATGTATGAAAACTTCTGGGTCTAACTCTAAACTAAGTACCTCACTTTCAAGGAATTTGAGGAGGATTGCTAATTGGTTGTTAAACTGTAGTTTCCAAGTCGTAAATTGAAGCGCAGACTTGAAGTCTGACAGTTTGTGATTAAGGATTGTCAAAATGTTATATTCATGGTTTTGTCCAAGGTCTGAGGTTAAAGGTTATATCACGGCCTTATCTTTAAAAATTAGTGAAATTAAATGAAACGCTCCCAATTTTTACATAGAAAAATAGCGCCCCCTGATGGTGATTGTGAGGGAAAGGTCTGTGACAAAAAGGGGTATTTGATATCAGGTATCACGTCAGTAATCACGTGATAGATCAAACCAAGCCCACACCGCAGGGGGGGGATAAAGAGAGGGGACCAGGAGCCCAAGAGAGGATTCGAATTCCATCATCAGAGAGAGTCAACAAGACAAGGCAGTAAGCAAATACATTCCAGGGTATAGGTCAGAAGCAGAGGACGGCTGTCCTAGAAACTGAACTAAAGAGAACCTGACTATCCCTGGTGGCCGAGCGTTGACTGCTGACTTCTTCCAAAACAACTAAATGTATATTGCTGGTAAAGTATACTTTCTATCTGTATATTAGGCAATTCCTCAGCCACATATATATATATATTCGGGTAAACCATTGAGTTCTTGTAGGATCGAGATTGATCCGAGATAATTTGTAACTGCAGTAAAAATTGTGTCTTTCAATCTGGGGAGATAATTATATACATTTGTTTTATACATTTGTATCCTCTCCAGGAAACTGATTTCAGTTTCTAGTCAATGGTCTAGTCTGATATATATACCGTATTTTGCGGTCCATAAGACGCACCGGACCATAGGACGCAGGGAGGTCCGGCGCGCCTTATGGAGCGCTCGAGACTGTAGCCTCTGTGACCGCTGAGACAGGTGGCGCTGTGATTACACTGAGATTACAGCGCCACGGTCTCAGTGATGACACAGAGCAGGCGAAGAACGTCTATCCTTCGTCTGCTCTATGGTGATCTCGATCGTCGCCGCCGCTCGGTTTTAATACGAGTCATCTCATTAGATCACTCGTATTAAACGATCAGTGGCTCCTACTACTCGCCCGGCGCCCGAAACTGCATGTCTCGGGCGTCGGGATTCGCTCCATAAGACGCAGGCACTTTTTCCCACTCCTTTTGGGGGGAAAAAAGTGCGTCTTATGGAGCAAAAAATACGGTATATTGAATTAAACTGGTGGTAATTTTTCTCTACTTTGACTGGTCCGGGCTTATTGCCAGCCCGGTGCATGATGGGATAAATATCGCCGGCCCGGTGCATGATGGGATAAATATCACCAGCCCTGTGCATGATGGGATAAATATCGCCAGCCCGGTGCATGATGGGATAAATATCGCCGGCCTGGTGCATGATGGGATAAATATCGCCGGCCCTGTGCATGATGGGATAAATATCGCCGGCCCTGTGCATGATGGGATAAATATCGCCCATGCGCTGTGGAAGTTAGAGTTGGTGAATATCTGAGCTGAGAGAAGTCACATGTCAATTCTGAGCCTTTCGTTTTCTTATTCTGTGAGATACGAGAAGACGCCCATTACATTTAAAAAGTCGTGTTATCTTGGTTACATTTATATTTGGAACAATATCCAGCGGTTACATTTTAGGCATTACTTGTGTTATGAAAGTGATTGATATTATCTGATCCATATTCTTTGTTTGTCACCAATTATATTTAATTATTATTTTCGCCCTGATTTTTGATAAATAAATCTCTATATTTTGTATACTTTGGTATTCCTCGTGTCTTCGAAGTCAGCGCAAATGAAAGAACTCGCGTAAATGTTGATTTATGGAAATACATTGGGAATCTCCTTAACTATAGATTTTCATTTGTTTCCATAAATAGAAGTGTATATCAGAGCAGTATAAACATTCTGACAGTCTGGTGAATGGAACGTAGGCCGGCATTGGAGTGCCCACCTCTCTCCCAGTCCTCCTCTCCTCGGAGGTCACCTCACCCGCTGCTGTACACATGCAGAATACCGATGCTTGGGGAACTCATTTCAGGGAATCTTCTCCCCTTCATCAGCCTCCACATAGACCTCAAATAAGAGGAATTCCCCTCATTATCGGGATCACATATGTAATGGAATGAGACGTGTGAAGAACTTCTTGTTTAAGACGCATTTTCTGTGCTACTATCACGTACCTGTGTGGAGACTGGATGTAGGAGGAGGCTTCCCTTGCAGCTCGTGTCCTAGGGACTCTGGTATTGGGGACAGAGTCCTTATAGACAGTGAGTGGCAGGAGGGCCAGAGGCGGTTCCACCGTGCAGGCCACTCCCTGGTTTTGCAGCAGGGTTTCGTAATCTTGATATCCGAGGTCAACAGGCCGAGGTCACACCGAGCAGGCAGAGCAGGGACAAAAGGGGAAGGCGTAGGCAGTCCAGTGAAGCAATCCGAGGTCGAGGGTATAGGCAAACAAGAATGGTCAAACGTTCCGAGGTCAAAGTCAATCCGGGTCGATAATCAATAGTACTGGAAACAAGGATCAGGAGACGTCAGGGCGGTTGAAGAGACAATCCAGCAATGAGTAGGTGTGGAGTCTGGGTTTAAATAGTGAAGAAAATGATCTGGAGAGCGTCACTTCCTGTGCGCCTTTTGGCGCGTTTTTCCGCGGAACCCCGGCTTGGCGCATGTGCAGAAGCAGCAGGTCTCTGACAGCTACGGGATAAATTATCATTCATTTATGTC